TTAGTTTGTCCTATCAAACTATAGTTGTAGTTGCAGCTTGGCCAGCTGGATGTCGTAACTCTTGCCCCTCACCTGAACGATATTAACCTCCTGTCTATTGATCCACAAAGAGCACAAGCATTTCGAATTACAGTTTTGTAAACCTAGATCAGGCTAACAGATTGAAAGAGAAGTGGATGTGGCTTTAGGGATTTTCATTTTCTTTTCCACTTACGGTTTTCCCTGTAGCTCTTGGTATCAGAGGAGCCTTTCTGAACCTTGTGGTAAGCTGCACATGCCGCCATGAAATACCAGTTTAGATGTGGTGTCATTCAACGCAGAACATATAGTAGCAAGTACTAGTGACCACACCTAACTGAAAGCCCACAATGCGTTTTTGTAAAGTAAGGTAAGATGCTGGAACAACCTGGTCCTTCTGAGCTTTCTGGAAAGCTGTCTGCCCAGATTTGGTAACTGGGTCATGGTGCGAAGCTACTACTGTGTGCTTAGAGGGCCTTGAGCGCGTTGGAACGGCTGCCGCTCCCGTGAAACACCCAAGGCAGGATTTGCATAATGCAGGAGATGTACTTCACTGGTCAAAAGCCCAGTGGGGACACCTATCTGTACGCTCCACTTGAAATGTTGGCTGGAGCCCAACTTTGTTGTGTCTGTGCTGTTCAGGTGCAATTGGATGTCAGCTGTGAGCTTACACTGGGATCTACTGCAGGAAGAAAGGTTAGGTTGCTCGTGATACCCATGTAATGGGCCTAAACACACCCCCCTCTGGCCCCCTCCAGTTCCCACATGTCTCATCTGCTCTTGTGACAGTGTCACGTCAGGGCAGCTGGGTCCTTTTTTGCCTGGTCCTGGTTTTGTGCATTATAAGAACGTGTAAGGGTGTGTAGCACACTAGAGCTCAGGTTGACCTGGGAGCATCAGGACTGTGCCACACCAGGGCAGTGGGCATCGGTAAGTGGTGGTGTGATGGGCAAAGTGTTAGTCCAGGAGCATACTTTTTTGTAACCTGCTTTCTGATCTGAGCTAATTAGTGTAACCTGGACACAGTCTAACATGCCAGGTGAGGCAGCAGCAAGACCAAGGCTGGTGGGTCTGATCCTCCTTCAGCCTCTTGCTTACTACTCTCCCTCATAGACAAGGTAGTGGCCATAGATGCTCCTGCATCCTGTAAGCTTAGGTTTCAGCTTCAGCATTGCAGAATAATTCCTTTTCTTTCTGCTCCGCTTTAGGGTGCGAGTAGAAACAAATATAAAATTTCATCTTGTAAAGAGGGCAAGGAGGACAGATTCATTTCTTGATCTTGTAGAGACAAAAGAAGGTGTGCATAATAAGTAGAAGAGCATGAGAGAAGGAGCTCTAACCTGACTCTCCCAAATACGGAAAAGACGGTTCTGCTCCACCTTCTGTTGGACTGTTGGTTTGACTGACTCCTTAAAGCAGCTTTCGGCGCTGCAGTGCCTAGGGAAGTGAGTTATCTCATTATTTATGAAGAAGTTAATAACCTTTAAGGAATTAATATATGCATCACCATGATACAATGCTAATGTCATGCCATTCATGATTTACTGCACTTTAGCCACGTGAGGAATACTTTGGTATTGAAAAAGGTATTACAGAGATGCATATTGAAAAACAAGTGAACGGAAGGCTAAGAGAAAGATGGAGTTGTTTAGCTTTTGACAGTATTCAGTCATGTGCAGACACAAGCTGGAGCAGCCAGGTCATACTTACCTCAGATGCCCTCTGTTCACTGGGAACCATTCCTAGATGGCCATAAATGAGGACTGTAATCATTCCTTTTTTTTTTTTTTTTTTTTTTCCACTCTAAGGATTTTATGGAAAAGGAACTTTCTCTGGTTTACGCATCTTCAGTAGCATGTTGACCTGTAGTTAACTGGCTCTTCTATTCCGAGAAATTACTCTTACTTGCTGCCACTGTCTTCAATAGCTCCTTTTTATAAAATAGATATATTAGGCACAGCTTGAATGTGTGTTTTAAAATACACCAGATAGAGTGGGTTTGCTTCTGTTGGAGCTGTGTCTATGGGCATCTTGTTGGACAGTGAGAAGGGATTCCCAGCTCTTCGCACTGGGAAGAAAAATTAACTTGAGTTCCCCCTTATAAAATAAGCGCTCTGGGATAGCTGATTGAAGGACTGAGGTGGAGCCTATGCTGCAGGTTGGTGTCAGGGAATGTTTAGTGTTAGCCCGCTTCATTGTGCTGTGCTGCCCAATCTTCTGTGCATGGCTCCTTTGTAATAGCCCCTTCACCACCCCTCTGCCCTTGAAGGAGACAGGCAGGGAAAGACACATCTCTGATAGCAGGGCTGCCGTAGCAGGTGGGGAATGTTTCTTGGGTAGAAATTGGAGGGAAAAGGCAGTCCAAACTTCTTGGATACCACGGAGAGTAGAAAAAGTAGTTCCTCTGAACTTTGGATTTCTTTGTTGTTCTGCTTTTTTGGGCTGTATTGTCATTCAAATTCCGATTATGAGATGACAGTTTAGCCGATGACAGGCAGGAGGCTGCCAAGTGGTAATCTTGGCAAGTGTTAACCCAGCAAAACCTGGAGTAAGTTAGCTTCAGATTGCAGAATTTTGGGCCTTCGCACTTTTTTCTGGTTTTAATAATAGTGTTGTCCTTTCTACAGACTAGTTTGGCTTGTAGTTTCCTTTTTTGCGTACGGTTATCAGAAAGGATATTGATTGTTCAGTGCAGCTAAATCATTGAATTCAAGATGCAGAGGTGGGTTGCGCAGTCTCTGCGTTCTGTTATGGCAGAATGTTAGAAGTGTTAACTTTCACGCTGGGGTGTTGCATTTCCAGACGTAAGCTGTGATAGTCTTAGGGGTTTTGTTCAGCACTTTGCAAATTCGTCAATGCTTAAACGAAACCTCTGAATGAGGTCTACTCTCCTCTTGACATCAACAAGTAGGTCTAGCTCACATCACTATCGTGCATGCAATTTTGAAAGGAGAACGAAAGCCTGCAATGTTAGTCAGGTTCTATCGTAATTGCTCTGGAGCTAAAGGAGTTTGTTCCAAGGTAGCTCTAGCAACCGTGGGTTACTGGTCTCTATTCTGCAGCATATGGTATTCTTATATTTATTTACGAAATTAAGGAATTATTTCCTGTCTCTTGTTCCAATGTAATTTTTTGTGTGTTTTCCCTCCCTCAGGCAAATGACTTGCCTGTTTCTTGGAGTTGATAATTATAACTGGTGAGATATGGCAGACCTGTAATTTGGAAAAAAACCCACCACCTCACCTTCTTTCTGGGGAAAAACTAGGAAATAAAGTCTTACTGGAAAAGCTGAGGAATAGTGATAAACATTGAAAGTTCATAGGCAAAGGATCAGGGGAGTGACCTCCTTTCTCCCAGTCAATTTCTGGTGGCAGTGATGGGACTTGTTCAAATTTGACCTCCTTGCTTTGAAGGCTGCCCGTTTCAGAATACTAGTGATGTACGGCAGAGAGCTGTCTGTCCCTGCTGGGCTTTCAGTTCTAGGTTGGATTCATTCTGACCACCTGTTTCTTCCATTCAGGGTTGTGTCTTAGTGAGTTATGGGGAATTAGTTGCTTTTTAATCTAGTTTCTGATGGATGGCGATCACCTGCATGTTCAGAGATAATTGATGCACGCGTGCCAAATGCATGCAGAGACGGTATACATTTGTTAGGTGGGAATATGATGTCTCTGGTTGGAGAGAAACTCCAGTAAAAGCCAGGTCTTTGGTGGTGAGTTACAAATGCTGCTGGGTTTTGTTTTATTAAACTTCTTGGTTGCTGCTGGGAATTTGCCACCAATTACATGTTTTGATCACCCAAGTAATACCAAAATGAATGGCCGTATGGACACTTTGGAGAACACAGGACTCATTAAAGAAAAACAAACAGAGAACATTTGTACCGCAAGCAGAAAAATAATCAGATTCAATTTAGAAAAATAATAAAAGCTAATGCATTTGGGAAGAGATTACTTTCAATGAGGGAGAGAAATGCGAAGAACGTTTCTGTGGTAGTCAGCTATGAGCAAGCCACATTTTCAATAAGATATGGTAATTTTGAGCCATTTAGATAGGGACTTCATCTCATAAAGCAGGGGGGTAAAAATCTTAAGTTGTACGTAGGTTTATTTCATTGTGAGAAGGACATTAGCAAACTGCAGTGCATTCAGGGAAGTGCGGTAAAATTGATCAGGGTGCTTTAAGGGCTGATTTAGGATAACAGTACATGAGCTTATCTGAGATTCTTTGTATACCTCTAGGAGAGGTAGGAGTTATAAATATCAAAGGTAGAGAAGATACTTTTTGGGGAGTCCAGGACATCTGAGCAGGATTAACAGGATGATGCTGAAGGTAGAAAAATGTGAAGCAGAGTATTGGGATTTTTTTACTGTCAGAGGTTTATCTCTAAGATGAGCTGTGTGCTAGTTGATAGACTGCTATACGTCAGGCTGTAAAGAAACATTTCAGAAGAGGTTCTGGAAGTCTCCTTACCGGGAAATATTTAAAACTGGTCTTTGTGAAATCTCAGAATTTTTATTGTTGTGGGGAGTGATGTGTTGGAGGAGTGGAGGTCTACTGGGCAAGGTCTTGGATCTGCCTCTATTCCAGACAGCATCTGGTGATGTGAGTCTGCCCACGATCAACCCCCTCAGTGAAGAGGCAGGGCTTTAGCAAGTGTGTATTTTGGTACCTCCACCTGCTGAGATATAAAAATCCTTGGGAAGAGCTAAGCGCTTGTTTAGGATTTGTAATAATAATAATAAAAAAAACCCCAAACCAACAACCCAGCAATAAAAGCTACTCCCTGTTGTATCCCTTACTGTACATATGTGACATCCTTCAAAATGATGGTGCGCTCTTCTTTTGATCCTTTTAGAAATAGCTGAGAAGAAGAAAAACGGACACCCCCACATCCTCATTGTGGAGTCTTCTGCGGGAGTTCAGGAATTTCAACAGAGTGATCTTTTGGCATAAACTGATTTTTCAAGAGACATTCCTGCCATTATGAATGAAGTAGCAATAGTGAAGGAAGGGTGGCTTCACAAACGAGGTAAGTGTCTGTTCCCTCCAGGACAGTAGATTGACTTTCTTGCAGTGATCTGTCCTTTAGCAGCATATCTGCAAATGGTCTGTTATTTTCCCATTCACCCTGATGGGAAGCGGTATATAAGGAGTGTGCGTGACTTTCTCTTAAGTTTGAGAAAACGCACGTGTAAGGGGTTTTCTTTGGGTGTGTGCGTTCACTGAAAAGTGCGTCAACTGCTCTGAAAATGATCATAAAGATAGCAACTGAAGGAGATGCTACTTAGAGTGTTAAAGGTTAAACTGTAGCAAATTATTTTGGTTTATGAGTAGGTCTGTAGCTTTTCTTTTTGGGTTAGAAGATAAAATTGTCTTGAGGTGAATCTTCATTTGAATGGTGAAAAATATGCCTGTATTTTCCGAGCAATGCTGTGCTCTTGCAGAGACTGGGTAGAGAATGTGTTGTTTTCTTTGTGTCTGAACTACACTTGGTACCAGTGTCCTAGAAAGGAAGAATAGCCTTGAGTTTGTGCACTCTGCATTTCTGTGGTGCCGCTAATGACATTTGATTTTTATAAGTCTTTATTCTTGACTGGGTGGCAAAACTGAAATAACATGGTCACGTGTACTGTTATGCTTTTTGCATTCTTCAATGTTTTGTACCCCAAACAGTGGGTTTGGTCTTTTTTTTTGGGGGTAGGGGAGTGTTTGTTTTCAAGCGCTGCCAGCATTTTGCCTATAAGGTACTTGGCTTACCTGCTTCTTTGTATGCTTCTTTGTATTCTGCTACCGTTTCTTGGAAAGGAGAGCGCAGTGTTAGGTACTTTCCATAATACCGTCATTTTTTTTGGACCAAAAACACAATCTGTGTGCTCCAGCAGTAGGGAAGCTCGCAGGGTTCTGCAGACTCGGGATTTTTCTAGAGGGTTTGCAGCAACTTGCCTGAAGGTGCAAAAGTGTAGCATAATTACTTCTGGAAGAAAATGGAAATACGTTATCATAACCTTCATAAAGGCTGATAGTTCTTCTGCAACATTAAGAAATTTCTAAGAATTCAGAAAACTTGTTTCTAATCCGTGTTTTAAAAGGGTGGAAACATATATTTCTACAGCTGAGTATACAGCTTAGTTTAGCAAATTGTCTGATGCTTGATGTAGAAATGTTTTGATAAAGTGTTTTCCTTTTTTTTTTTTTTCTTTTCTGGTTTATTTCGGTTAGAAACGCCTTTCCACTCATTATCTTAAATAACTCATTTGATAATTCTGGTGTAAAGTATTTGAGAATTGAGCTGTGGATAAAACAGGAGAATGAAACACAAAGTTATTCTTCCTGTTCCCATTTATGAATCTAGAAACTCTTCAAATTAGAAAGATACGTTTTTAGTTTTAAATTATGTTTTTAGGCAGAGGGTTCTTTTAACTGGCTATTGTTAAAATTCTTTCTGCCTTTACCAGTAACATTAAAAAAAATATTTTGAGAAGCACTGTACAAAAATCTGAGGGTGAAACTTTTATTTTAAAAAGTATGAAAATGGAATTGTATTGCCAGGATGATTCAGAGGCAGATGTGTCTGAAACTTTAAAACAGTCATGTTATATTTCAAGCTTGTCTGTATTTACTCTTGAGAATCGAATTTTCATTGTTTCTAGGATTAGTGTAAAGTTACTTTCAAGTAAGGAGACCTCTGGAGGAGTTCTTAGTAAAAGATGCCCTGATCTCCTGATCTGGTTTTTATTGGGTTTTTTGTTTTGGTTTTTTTTTTTCAAATTACCTTAGAGAAACATATTATTATCTCTGATGGTTTGCTGATAGTATTATGATGAGATTTTCTGCTGAACACACTTCCATTTCCAAAATGGTACTCTGCATGTTCTGCATATTTGAGACTGCAAATTTGTGCCCAAATGCCCAAACTGTTAAATGTATCTTGGCGTGTTTTGGATGCCAGATTTCCTAATCCTTTTAACCCGTTCCCCAATGCCTTTTTGCCTTCTCGGTATGTGTGGTGACACCTATTTCATTCTACTTCACTGACTCTGCAGCTGTTAATTTGGCATTGTCCGTGGGGGGAAGGTTTTAGAAAGCAGTGCTACCTTTCCTTCTCAGCTTGCTGGTGTGTTAGCTCCATTACTCTCTTGGTTTTTGAAGCTGTTTGGAGATCATTTGAGAAATTCAGTTCTTTTGGCTAGGGGTGCTTGTGGGGGGAACTGATCCACTTGTGTGTGTGTGTGTTTTGTAAAGGATTTTTTTTTTTTTTTTTATCGTCTACATTTATTGCCAGACCCTATCAGTTTGCTGGCTCTGCAAGATCAAGTGCTTCAACCACAGGATGTTTCCAAAACTGATGTCTGATACTGTGAGCTTCTAAAGTTAAGGCATAAACAGTAATTACTGCAGGGAGGGACTGCTAAAGGAGGATTTTAGATCTAGGAAATGTATATTGTTTGTCTTTTGGTTCATTTATAAAACCGAATGTTGCACTGCGTGTGTTCTTTAAAGATCCTAGGACTTTCCACATGCAAATATTTTAAGTAATGACTGGCCAAAATCCAGATTGGGCAATGATGTTCTCTCTACCTAACATTCCCCCTGTAGCTTTGGTTGGGTATGGTGTCTCTTAGTTCACGTCCTGAGCAGTTGAACAATGTGTCAGTGTGCAGTTAAACAGTTGCTACATCTCACCCCAGTAGTGGCTTAATTTTGGAGGTTTTAATGATTTGTGTACGTATAAATCAAGCTGCAAAGTGCTCTGGAGCCCTTCTGGATGGCAGGTGTATATAAGCATAAAGCTGTCATTAGCAGGAGCAGGTGTTTTGGCCTGGCAGGGAAATAGCAGGGCTTTCTAGAATTGTGGGGTTGTTTTCTTCTGTCAGCGTGCTTTACATTTCTGTTTTTGTTTCCAAGATTAAAAACACAAATGGAGAAATGAAATTAAACATCGCTGCCTAGCCGAAAGCTCTTGGCAGTTCTGTAAGTCAGTCACTTAAAGGAAGCTGTACTTCCAGTAGCGCATATGTTTGTTTGTGCAGGGGCCAGAGTCATCTCCGTGGCGTGTCTAACCTCAACCCGGCAGAAATAGAAGAATTCATGAATGAACTTTCCCCCCTGCTCCTTTTCCCTGTTGGCAGCACTTGGTGCTGTTACTCTAATCACAGGTGATAGACTCCTGCACGAAGACAGAAACAGTAGTTAAAATACTAACTACTCTTTGCATAACTGCGTGGCTGAAGTGTGTCAACACACAAATAGAAAACGTGAAGAAACTCAGACTTGGCATTGGTGTATTGTTTGTGTACGTCCAGAATATGTAGTCCCTGGTTGTGTTATGTTGAAGGTTTGTTTAGTGGGGAAGGATGGGGGAAACGGGTCGTTGCAGAGGTGCTATAATTGTGACTGAATAGGAGGGGGGAAGGAGAAAGTGGTCTGCCCAAACTACTGCTTGTTGAGTTCTGAGATAACTGGTTTTCTGGAGGTGTGTCATGAGTGTTCTTAATTTTAGTAGTGTGTTGTGGAACTTTTTGGATAAAAGAGGTATGCCTGAGTGTATTTTATTTGCTTTACTGATCCATTTTAAAGATCGCATTGGATTTCTTGACATCTTTCTGCTCTGGTCCCTGTTTATAAAGGTCCTTCTATTGTCTTCAGGCTTCATCCTGTTTTGGTTTTTTTATTTTTTTTTTTTAAAGTCTTTCTGCAAGGCTAACAAAGAGGGGGATTGTGCATTTTGATACTCTGTCATCTCTGTCTTCCCTAGTATGTCCGGTTTTCTTATTAGGGCATAAACTCATATGGAAAAAGGAGTCTTTTGGAGGCAGGGAAAGAAGGGGAGGGGAAAAATGTACACTGACATTTAAAAAAGGAAATAGAAGTCTTGATTTCTCACTCTGAGAACTCTGAAGTAATTATAAGCAGTAGGAGAGACCTGTCTATTAATCCATTAGTATTTAGCAGGAAATGTGGAGCTACGTTTTGCTTTTGTTTTTAAATAGTATATAAATGCTGCACAGTAACTTTAACCATGAAAACCATGATGTGTCCTCCAAATGTAATTTTGTGTGGACTTTAGGCAGACAAAACTATTTGTCTAGTTGGGAGTGTGGCTGCCAAGCTGATCAAAATTACTGCAGGTCCTTAAATGAGAAATTATACAAAAAGCTACTTATTCCATTGCTGGAAATACTTTTTTTTTTTTTTGTTAAAGAATTATTTCTGTAATGAAATGGAGTGATACTGATGTTCTAATAAATAACCAGTCGTCCTTGATGACTTGTCTTCCTATAGCTTCATTGCATAAACTGAATGCAGGATCCATATAAAAAATACAAGCCAATAATTAAATGTTGATTGTTGCTCTTCTAACTTCTTCTAGCAGAATATACACAGACGGTGAACTTTACCTTTGTTATTTTGAGCACAGGTTCATACTTTCAGTATTCTGTTAGCATGGATCAAAACAGGATCTTATGAGGTATGACCAGAAGTTAACTTTTTTTTTTTAAAGTGAGTGAATCTCTTGTGTTGCTGTTTTTCTTCACCTCTTCTTTCTTCTCTCTTCTGTTCTCACCCTGTTTCCTACCTCTTTTTGTGTGTGTCTTTTATTTTGGGGTGTTTTTTATTTTTTACCTCGGCTTCTGTCTTTTCTTGGGATGTAGTGGTGCACTTCCTTGATGACCTGTGTAACCAGAACCTTCAAGGTTCAGATTAGTTCAAGAATTGTCTGGCTTTCACGGTAGTTCAAAGGAGTGGCTGTGGCACTTGATACAAAGGATCCTAAGATGTATCTGAACTCTGAAGATGCCATTTATAGAGGGCACAGCTGCTTCATTGGAAAAACTGGGGGGAAGAGGAAAGGTAAGAAAAAAGACAGAGGATGAACAAAGAACGGAGGGAGGAAGTTTGAAACAGAGGGAAAGAA